GCCCCACAGCTCGCAGCCCTGGGGGGTCGGGCTGGGACCCAGGTGTCCGGGCTGTCAGCGTTGGCCGTGGGAGCAGGGCGGATGGCTGGATGTTATCCGGGGGGCCCTGGGAGGAATGTTGGGGTATCTGGGGATGGAGTCTCTCCCCCAGCGCGGGCGGCGGGGTTCACCCTGCTCTGCCCCCCCAGCCCATGGAGATCTTCGTGGACGACGAGACGAAGCTGACGCTGCACGGCCTGCAGCAATACTACGTCAAGCTGAAGGATAACGAGAAGAACCGCAAGCTCTTCGACCTGCTCGACGTGCTGGAGTTCAACCAGGTAGCGCCCGCGGACCCAGGCATCCGGGGAGGGGCAGGGACCCAGGCGTCCGGGCGGTGCGGTCTCTCTTTCACCCCTTCCCTCCCTCCCCCCAGGTGGTGATCTTCGTCAAGTCGGTGCAGCGCTGCATCGCGCTGGCCCAGCTGCTGGTGGAGCAGAACTTCCCGGCCATCGCCATCCACCGGGGCATGCCCCAGGAGGAGAGGTGAGGGGGTGCCGGGATCCCCCAAACTCCCCAGCCTGGGCCGTCTCTCACAGTGCCCGGCTAGTGACCAGCAGCAGCCCCCCCAGGCCACGTGATCACTCAGCACAACGCGAGTGGAGCCCCCCACCCAGAGCCACTCACCAGCCGAACCCCCCAGCACTGCACCCCAGGAGTACGCCGAGCGGCGCACGGTTATTAATTGGTTCACTGCTTCGTCAGTGGTTCGCCAGACGGTGCAAACCTGAGCAGATTTACCGCACGCTTCGTGCAAACTCACGGGCAAAGAGAAACATGCGAATACGTTTCTTGCCTGCAAACGAAGCAGGGTTTGGATTGTGACTCTGAACCTGCAGCCGGGCACTGGGTACCCCCTGCTGTGGCATGTCCCTGGAGAGCTGGCATCTGGGCGCTTCCCGTGCCAGCCGTGCAGCACGTTCCCATGATGCTCGTTAGAACAGTGACTTCGAGCTGCTCCTAACCGGCCCCCGATACCGCGCGCGGCCTGCTTCATGTGCAAGATCACAGTTCTGTGTAAACGAGGAATATGGGGTTAGTGTCACAGTGGGGGTGCTTTGCCAATAGGGGGACAAGGCCACCAGAGGGCTCTGTGCTGGAGGAGGGGCTGCCAGGTCAGGCCAGGCAGTGACCCCAGACCCGCCCCCCTCACTCCCCCAGGCTGTCCCGCTACCAGCAGTTCAAGGATTTCCAGCGTCGGATCCTGGTGGCCACCAACCTCTTCGGGCGGGGGATGGACATCGAGCGGGTCAACATCGCCTTCAACTACGACATGCCCGAGGACTCGGACACCTACCTGCACCGGGTGAGC